AAGCTTTTGGTGCATGGTACCGTTAGGTTAGATACATAGAGCCACGGCTCTGGTCACCTTCACTAATGCGCCGAGAAAGAGTGGGACCCCCACCTAATAGAGTTTGAGTAAATCGGTGTCCGGCGCGGAGCCCGGAAATCGACTTAATCAAGCTCAATAGGAACTGTGGGGACAATGATGAAGTCCATGAAAAATGAAAAGATTTAGTATTGAAGGTAGAAGTTGAAGTTGAAAAATCCACAAAGTGTGAGGAGTAAGTGTTGAATTCGCCCTATGACTATTTCTTATAAAACAGTTGATGTATCTAAGAACTTCGAAAAGCATGCATCGTTAAAAGTAATCGTTATTATGATTTGAATTCTAGAAGTATGCACGTCAAGTACCCTTGAGTAGTGAAAGTCAAGAGATTAAAAAGAATACTCGTTATGATGGAACTTATGAAAGTTGCGCAGTTGTCAGCTAGATTTTCTATACAATTCCGAACAGAATGATATATGGATGTTGGTGGTTTCGTTGAGTAGGAGCCGAGATACGTCACCAGAACCAAATGCCCCGTCAGCTCTGGTCGTTATCTGCCGCCTCTCCAAATTGCAGACTCTCTACGCAACTAGGCGTCTTCCACGGGGCATTTGGCTCTGGTGCCCTTTTCTCCGTTACTTGCAAATTAATGTAAGCAAATCGTATATCATTATGAAGGTATTGAAACGTACATTTGAACAGACAACTGCGCAACGTTCAATTTTTTGGTTTGTGTAAATGAAATGAGAAAAACTGTATTTTTTGTTTTCCTCGATTTTTAAGTCAAATTGAAGTTTTAAATTGCGTATTTCATCTCATTCGACAGGAAATGTTATTCACAATACAACTAACAACTGCGCAAATTTGTTTCAAATATCCAGCGATTTATTTTAAAGGACGCACCAAAATATCCGTATTTCTTTTTACACTTTCTGAAGATTTCTTGCGGTTAGACTATCTCAACCTTAAGTTCATTCCGTTTGCAATATTGCGCTGTAGAACGTAGACAACTGCGCAACTTTCAGAAATCATGCATTTGAGGGAAAAATTTAAAGAACACATGCGTAAATGAGTTTTCTCTTAG